GCCGAACCCAGACTCTCAAGGAAAACAAGGAACCCCGGAACACAACAAGGGAGCAGATAAATCCATCCAGTTTCCATCAGCTCAGTTAAACAGATGTTTTCATCTGGATTTAAACATCCAGAGTTGGGTTCTGTCTCACGTCTTCAGGAAGACTGATCCAGGTTTTAGGAGCCTGGAGCTGGAATGAAGCTTCACCTGGTTTAGTTCTGACTCTGTACCCCGTCAGGAGACCAGAACCTGGTTTAGTTTAGACTCTGGGCCCCATCAGGAGACCAGAACCTGGTTCTCAGAGTCCAGATGGTTCATCTGGCTCTAACATGTCAGACCATGAAGAGACCTGAGAACTGGACTGATGTGGTCCTGGTTCCTGGTTCTGAACTGTACTGATGTAGTCCATGTTCCTGGTTCTGAACTGGACTGATGTGGGCCTGGTTTAGACTCCATTCCTCTGGTTCTGGATCAGTCTTACTGGGTCTGGTACAGACTCTGTTCTTCTGGTTCTGGATCAGTCTTACTGGGTCTGGTACAGACTCTGTTCCTCTGGTTCTGGATCAGTCTTACTGGGTCTGGTTCAGACTCTGTTCTTCTGGTTCTGGATGTGTTAGATGGTAGAAAGCTGCTGATGGGACTCATTTATTTAAATGTGTTTTTAAGAGATGCATTTAGGCTAAATCAGCTGGACTCAGCTAAACAGCAGGTAGCACCCAGAGGGTTAGGGTTAGGGGTTAGGGTTAGGGTGAGGGTTAGGGTGAGGGTTAGGGTGAGGGTTAGGGGTTAGGGTTAGGGTTAGGGGTTAGGGGTTAGGGTTAGGGTGAGGGTTAGGGTTAGGGGTTAGGGTGAGGGTTAGGGTTAGGGGTTAGGGTTAGGGTTAGGGTTAGCGGTTAGGGTTAGGGGTTAGGGTTAGGGTTAGTGACTGAGCCCAGTCCCCTCAGCCCAGCTCCACTCTGGGCTAACATGATGTGCTAATGGTGGGGTGAAGCCAAAGGGAACCCGGAGGGGGGGGGGGGGGGGGGGTTATGGGCAGCCTGACAGAATGAGGAGGAGCCCTCCAACAGACGTCACTTTAGATGGGCTGGCCTCTCCGGGGTAACCACGGCAACCACAAACCCGCCCCCCCGCTCTGCCCGTCACAGGGGCTGTGAAGTACCTGGAGTGCTCGGCGCTGACCCAGCGGGGCCTGAAGACCGTGTTCGACGAGGCCATCCGGGCCGTGCTCTGCCCCCCGCCCGTGAAGAAGAGGGGGAAGAGGTGCACCGTGTTCTGAGCAGCTCTGCCGGCCCCCCCCC